GGAGGTGGCACTAATGCCCTGAAGGTCCTCCAAGATGGCAGCTGAGAGAAAGGAGGGCTGCGGGCAAGGGTGGGAGGCAGATGGGAAGGGCCTGGAGGATGGGGACCTGGATTCTGGAGACAGTCAGGAGGGAACACAAAATTGTGAATTTCAGCCTTGGCTCTGAGAGCTCGGGCAAACTCCTCAGCCTCTCTGAGCCATGGCTCCCCAATTTGTATTTGGAGTGCCAATCCCTCCCACTTGTGGGGCTCTTTGAGGTTTAAATGAGATAATTTCTGTTAAGCTCTCGGGAGAAGTCAGGGCACATGGCAAGCACACAATGGTGTCAGCTGTTGTGGTTGTCCCATGAAGCAAGAGACCCAGGCGGGAGGGTGTGTGCTGGGGACACCACATAGGCGGACCCATGTGGACCCTGGCCAGGGGCAGGGCAGCCTAGTGGTTAAGCCCAGGTTCCAATCCCAGTTCTTCATTTGCATAGGGACTGTGTGGCCTTGGTTCTGCCCCCTAACACCTTTGGGCCTCAGTTTCCCTATTTGCAGAGCAGGGTAATGAGGCAGCTCTCCAGGGTGTGAGGCTAGACGCAGTGATATCCCCAAGGCACCGAACACAGTGCCAGTGATCGCTCTTTTTAATGAAGGACGAGACCAAGACCACACCGTAGGGAAGCAGCCCGTTTGTGTCTGACCAAGGCAAGGTGGCCTCAGAGCCCCCACAGCTAACTGATGCCCAGAGCTGCCCCCGCCGCTGCTGCTGCTGCTGTGCTGGGATTGCTGGTTTTGGGGGGTGGCAGAGCGCTTGGCCTGGTCTTCGATGGTAGTTAAGGTGTCAGCAGTGCTGGTGAGGTGGGAAGGAGGTCCCTTTGCCAGTCCCCCTCCAACAGTGCACCCAACTGTGGTTACAGGGGAGTCCCAGGAGGCCTCTTGGCACAGAGCCACTTGCCCTGTGCCCACAGTGAGGTCACTTTCTTTTTTTTTTTGCAGTTGCAAGATTTAATAGAGTGAAAACAGAGCTCCCATACGAAGGGAGGGGACCCAAAGAGGGGAGCCGCTGCCAGCTGGAATGCCTGGGTTTTTATCCCGATCATTGTCCCTCTCGCTGTCCTCTCAGGCATCGGATGATTGGCTACGTCTTTACCTCCTGTTTTTGCCTAATCAGCATTTTAGTGAGCGCTGTTGACTATCTGATCGGCCGGGTGTGAGCTAAGTTGCAAGCCCCGTGTTTAAAGGTGGAAGCTGCTGTCACCTTCCCAGCTAGGCTTAGGGATTCTTAGTCGGCCTAGGAAATCCAGCTAGTCCTGCCTCTCAGTCCCCTCTCTCAAGTGCGGTCACATTTTGAGACTCCTTCATTTCTTGCCCAACTCTTACCAATGGCCACAACCTCTTCTTCCCTCCTTGGATAACCCGGGCCTAAGCCACAGCGCCTCTGGCTAGCAGGGCGGGAATCAGTTTCACTACCGGGAACCCCATGGGTTGGGCGCTACAGGTGTGCCAGGGGTGGGTGCCCAGGGAAAAGCCCAGAGAGGGGTTCCTTCCACCCCCAGACCCAGGCCCATCTGGGAACACACACACACAGTTGCTTTGCTGGATAGGCCCACAGGCAAGTGGGGCCTTGGCAATGAGTTCTCCCAGAGTCCCTTCCTCAGGCTGTGGCCTCCTCTCTTTATGGGAAACCATGGCAGAAGGGGGAGCCAGATTCCACAGCATGGCACCTCCCGAAGCTGGAAGGGGCCATAGGATCCTTTCCCAGACAATGCGGCCTGATTCTGGCATCTCCTCCCTGCACCGCACGTTTTTCTTTTTTTTTTTTTGAGACGGAGTTTTGCTCTGTTGCCCAGGCTGGAATGCAGTGGCGCGATCTCAGCTCACTGCAGCCTCCACCTCCCGGGTTCAAGTGATTCTCCTGCCTCGGTCTCCTGAGTAGCTGGGATATGGGTGCCTGCCACCATGCCTGACTAATTCTCTGTATTTTCAGTAAAGATGGGGTCTCATCATGTTGGCCAGGCTGGTCTTGAACTCCTGACCTCAGGTGATCCACCCACCTTGGCCTCCCAAAGTGCAGGGATTACAGGCGTGAACCACCACACCCGGCCGTGCACCTCACTTTTTAAGATGTTTGGGTACCATCTGTTCCCAACAGTTTTCCTTAAGTGAACTCAGTTTTTACAAACCTAAAATTTACTTTAAAAGGAAAAGATGTCATTAATCTAGGTGGATAATTAGTATCATTTATCAAGAACACAACAAAATCACAAAAGTATATATTGTTGAAGCAATGAGGTCAGCACCTTGAGGGCAGTGCTTTGGGATTTACTGCTATATCCCCAGCACGTAGAACAGTACCTGGTACATAATAGGATAATAGGTTCTTTTTTTTTTTTTGAGACGGAGTCTCGCGCTGTCGCCGAGGCTGGAGTGCAGTGGCCGGATCTCAGCTCACTGCAAGCTCCGCCTCCCGGGTTCACGCCATTCTCCTGCCTCAGCCTCCCGAGTAGCTGGGACTACAGGCGCCTGCCACCGCGCCCGGCTAGTTTTTTGTATTTTTTAGTAGAGACGGGGTTTCACCGTGTTAGCCAGGATAGTCTCGATCTCCTGACCTCGTGATCCGCCCGTCTTGGCCTCTCAAAATGCCGGGATTACAGGCTTGAGCCACCGCGCCCGGCCCATAATAGGTTCTTGAAATGTATTTCTGAATGCAGGATTGAGTAAGTGATAAATGCAGAGAGGAGCACTAAGCCTCTTGGTTAAAATGAGGAAACGCAGGTATTAGGGTCATAGCGATGCCAGCCCCAGGTGGAGACTTTCTTCTTGATGTACTCAGGACTGATTGGCTTGAAAAAGGCAGAACGTCCTCCGCGCATGGCTGGGGACTCCTCAGTGCTGGTCTAGATGCAGCCTCGAAGTGTCTGAGTACCCGAACGCCTGCTGAGGGGTGCACGCCAGGGTACCTGAAGCTCAGGGTGGCACCCGGGTGAGAGGCAGGGCCAGGGTTGGGGCATGTCGCGGGCCCCCATGCATTTAGCCTGAGCGACGGGTCCCCTGAGGAGGCCTCCGCGTGTCCAGGAGAGCTTCCCTGGCAGCCCTGCTCCTGGGTGGTCCTGCTCACACACACGCATGTGACATGACGCATGACAGAGTGTGGGAACAGACATCAGTCCTTTCGGCTGCAGGCTTCTCGCTTCATCTTGGCCAGGAGGAGGACTTGCTAAGGGCTGGGTGCCCCAGGTGAACCCCCCGCCCCCACCCTGCACTGTGCTGGACACGCCTTCCTCACACAGGGGCTGTTGCTGGAGCCTGGCGCATGGGGTATGAATCCGCACCTGGCAGGAGCCTGTGGGGGTGGCCGCCGCATCGGCATGTTCGTCAGAGGCCTGGCACAGGAAACCCGACGTCATCCCTGACTCACCCCTCAGGCGGAGCTTGGGGTGGCCCGCCACTCTCACCTTCATCCCTAAACTGGCCCAAGCACTGTAGCCAAGCCACTCACCTCCCGCCCGGTGTGGGGCATCTGCTTGGGGGTGGGGGCTGGAAGGAGGAAGGAAGGTTCTGTAGCATCAGCGTGATGCCGAGTGAGGCAGCTGTGGGAGGGAGGCTCGCCGTGCGGGGAGGTGGGTGGATGTGCTGCTGGGGCCAGGAAAGACCTGGAATCCCAAAGGCAGGAGCCAGTGACGCTTAAACAGCCGTCAAAATAGATGGTTATAAAAAGAATAACACGCAGAATCATCATTTGTTCCTGTGAGTCGCACAGGTTTTCAATTTTAAAAAAAGTGCTGAGTCCAAACTTACTTGACAGTGTCTGCTCTGTAAGAGCCAGGCCGAGAAAAACAAAAACAGAGAGAGCTCTGGGCAGGGACCCCCAACCTGGGTCAGCCCCTTTCCATCCGGTGGCGAGGACCGGGTCCTGCTTCCAGAGCCTTCGGGCTGCGGGGCATCCAGCCTAGCAGAGACCCCTCCTCACCGCGTCCTCACCCTTACACCCAGTGCCCTGCCTCCTCTCTGCTGTGGCTCCGAAGGCTGGGCTCCGGCGAACGGTGGTTGGGGAGACTCTGAGGGGGTGGTGAAGAGGAGCAGGCGTCCTGCACATGATCGCCACCGGCAGCACCCAAGGCTTGGGGGGCTTTTGTCAGAGCAAAAGTGGGAGAGGGACATGGGTTTGTGAGTCTCTCCCCCTCTTCAGGGGTGGGGCTTTCCCCAGTTTGGGAGTAGGGAAGGAAGGCAAAGGAAGGCCCTCCTTCATGGCTAAGCTGGGCCTCTGTGAGTCCACGTTCCAGAGCTGAAAAGGGGACAGCCCCAAGGCAAATGGCCTCAAGGGGGTGACACAGGTGCAGCCGCGTTAGGCAGCCATCACCAGTCCTGAGCTGGGTGGTGGCAGGTGCCTATAGTCCCAGCTACTCTGGAGGCTGAGGCAGGAGGATCATTTGAGGCTCAGGAGTTTGAGGCCAGTGTGGGCAACATAACAAGATCCTGTCACTTAAAAAGAAAAAGAGACCACTGGTCGTGGCCAGGAGTGCCAGGTCCCAGGGACTGCGCTATCGGAGCAAACCTTCAGCAATGCTCTCCCCACATGCGGAACTCCCCGGCAAGGTATACCAGGTTCTCCAGGAGGGGAAGAGGCCCAGCTCAGCATAGGAGTTGGGGTCTGGAGCCCCTTACACGGCTGAGCTGAGTTCACTTCTGAATCAGGGATCCCACCTGGCTGGGGTCCTCTCACGGAGCTGGAAGGCTGTGGCTCCCAGCCCAGAAGCAAGACTGGACCTGATTGTCCTGCACGCTCTGTAATTTGCCCCTGGAATCAGCATTAAGTCATTTGGAGGCCGATGCCAATGATAAGGGCTCCTATCAGCCTCTGGGATCTGTGGCCCAGACTCCCCGGCTCTGTTGTGGACTTTGCCGCCTCAGCCTCCAGACTGGCTTGCCAGGGAGGGGCAGGGCCTCAGCCAATTGCGCAGACGGTGGGGTAGCCTTAGAGCCTTGGAACCAGTGTGGAAGGGCCGCTGCGCCACGATGTGCTCCCCCTTACAGATGGAGACACTGAGACGGTGACGTGGCCCCAGGGACCTTTGGAGTCCTTGGGGTTTTCTCCTCTGCATCTGCTCTGACCCCAGCACACACAAGCTCCAGGTCCTTCTCACACGCAGTGGAACTGCACAGGTACCACGCTCCCGTGCACACAGCACACTGCTGTGAGGAGCTCAGAGCAGACGAGTCCAGAAGGGCTGGGGGCTCCACGCAGGTCCCAGCTGTCACTCTTCAAGATGGCGTGGACACAGGGGTCTGCCGGAGAACCGGAAGGGTCTTTCAGAGGAGGTGGAGGAGGGCCTCAGGAGACTGGGGGCTTGGAGGGTGGGTTCTGAAATCCCACGCAGCTGGGGGCAGGGCGAGGGCAGCTCCAGTTCAGTAACACCGTCTCCACCCACCTGAACTTCTCTGCTTGAGTTTGGGAGTTCACTGCCAACAATTCTTGTGGCTCAGACACCCCACGCACACCTGGGCCTCACCACATCCGGCAGCAGGGCTGGAGGAGGGCAGGATGGAGAGGACACCCAGGCCCCCAGTCCTCCGGGTGCAGTGCTAGCCCTGGACTTTGCTGCCCAGGGGGCCTGGACAGGGAGGCCTAGGATGGGGGAGGCCAGTTCTGTTCTGCTTCTCCCTCTTCCCCTTGCCAAGGTCCTGAAATCCCCGCAGGCCTGGGGAGGGCTGGGAGCGTCAGCGGACTTCCCTCCAGGGCGGGCTTGTGACAGCGGGAAGTGCTTCTCTCCGGGGCCTGGGGGCTTTCCCTGCGCCCAGGAGGAAGAAGCTTTGCCTCACTCTTAACTGGAAGCCGGTCTCAGACCCCTACTTTCCCCACGAAAGGCCCCAGGACCCCCTCATTTCCCTTCGGCCTGGGTCCCGGGGACTGTGTTCGGGCGTAGCTTGGCCACCAACCTACTGCAAGACGCTGAGTGCTGGTCTCATCCAGGCAATGGGGGGTGGGGAGGAGGAGAGAGAAAGTCCCTCTGGCCCAAGGTCTCCAAATATATGAGCAATAGAACATCTCCGCAGGGACCTCCCCATCATCCAGTGTAGAACTCACCCGTGGCAGCAGGCATTTGTCAATGTTTGTGGTGACAAATTTCTAAGAGGAAAATTCTGGGAGGGAAAGGGAAAAGGCAGAGGAAGCGTGGGGTTGGGGGGTGGGGTGCTCCAAGGGACATCGCTGGCCCTAAGGGGGGGACTTGCATCTGTGAAGCTGGGTTCCCCAGGACTGAGTGGCTTGGGACAGGTCAAAGGGTGGGCGCAAAGAAGGGGGGGGTGCTGGTCCCTCCGACTCCGGATAACACCTTCCCTTCCCGTAGTCGCTGGTCCCCGCCTCCTCTCTGTGTGTTCATCCCTGCGCCCTGCCTTCCCCGCCAACCTCCCCCGCCTCCGGAGTCCCCGGGTCAGCCCAGCCTGCGCCCCACGTGAGGGGCGGGGGC